CAAGCGATCGAGTCGTCTTTTTCACAATCAAATTACAGTAAATCGGACGTGGTTTTATTTCGCGAACCAGAACAATAGACGTCCGATAATCCCCAACATTGACAGGGTAATTCAAAGACTAAGGAGCGATCATGGTTGGACACGACGCATGCTCGGATCGTGCATACGTAAGTTGGCTGTGCGACGAGACGATAAAATTATGAAAGGTAGCTGTCAACGCCTACGAAATGGTCCGTGAGTTTATGTTCACAGGCGTCAAGACAATCGCTCACGTCGGAAAGCAGACGAGCCGATGATCAATTCAAGCCTGGCCCTCTGATGGATACTCAATCGGTCGACGTATCGGTTTGGCGCCGGCGTACAGAGCTCTATAGGGTCACCCCCAGACTGGCGTCACTGCATCATTTATTGATAACTACCCCCTAGAATTGCAGCCTTTTTCGTTGCTGTCACGACTTCTAAAAGTGGATTCTTGCACATAATCGAAAGCTTGGGATAATCAACCGATTGTTCAAATGCTCGACCAGCCCTCTTCTTTTCTTTTGCATACACTATGGCAGGTCACTGAAGTCCGGGTAGCGAGTGCGAATTACAGTTTGGCTGGTGTCTTTTATAATGTCTCCGTTATGATAACGGCTAGGGTGGGCTTTATGAGGGAGCATATGGTCAATGTTTCAGAAAAGCCCTCTATCTTCTATCGATTGTGTAATCCGGACTTTCTGCGTGACTCGCCCACCAAATATTCATCACATTTCCATCTATTACTCAATATCTTGCCCAATGAGTAATATGTAATCACTTGAAATAATAATTTGTTGTGGCAAGATTCTAATTATCTAATTTATCATAAAATCCAGCAGGACTCTTTTCTGTTATAACACATTTTATTTTGCTTTAACCAAGCAATTGAAAACAATTTTTCCCTGGAACGAATTTGTATGTAGCAAATACTGCAAAATTTATTGGATACATAACAATACCAAGTAAAGTAAAATTTAAAAAAAACGACAAAAGAGGGTAACTATTGATTGTGCTACCACATGTTCCTTTTTGTCCTGAACGACAGAGTTCGCTTATGCAAGTACATGCCACACTTTAATCATTAACTTTCACAGAAACAGGAAGGTGTGTTCCACCTTGGTAATTTTCCCACAAGTACTTTTGAGATTTGCATACCTTCTACATTCCTGATTACATTAACGTTGGGAGTCTCTGAGCTCTGAACTGTCGCATGCCATTTCTACGATTTACTTTTCGTATCCTGCTTTTCAGAAGATAAATTGGCGAACATACGTTTGTGCTCGATAAACTCTCGTTAGGCCTTTACATTTCTACGGTAATTAAGTAAATAAAACTATGCGGATTGGTAGACAAAATAGTGCGGCTGTCAGGGCAGGTGAAGAGATGGGAGATTAGAGTCAAAAATCTGATCAGCATTAGGGGGACTGGTAGCCGAGCGGGGTGATAAGCTACTGGCTGTTGGATTAGCTGCTTTTGGCCATGTTAACTGCGGCGTCGCGACGAAGTTCTTTTGGACGCGCCGGACCGGTCAGCGTAGCCTGATGGCGGCAGCTTCTGCCGTAGCCAACAGACGCTGTCCAAGGAATTTTACGGTCACTTTGAAGACCAGTCGAAAGCCCTTTGTGGCATCCACGCGGTGGTCTGAGTCTACCAGGTGCGCTAGAATGGAACTGTTTATACCTTTTAGTTGGCCCTGCCCTAACCATGCTGGAATGTGTTCTCGTACTCTTTTGCACAAACGTTGCCCCGTGCGACCAATATATCCTGCTATTTATCTAGCTGGTGCCTTGGTCCAATTTACATCTGATGGGCAGTCATCCTCTGCCAGTCAGCACTGATATCATTACCGCGAGAAAATTGCAGGAGCAATTTAAACACCGCGTGAGAAACACCGCTCT